ATGTAGTAACCACACTTTTTTTCATGTGAAACTTTCATAAGAGTGTTTAACAATAATACCTTAATACAAATAAATAAATAATTTTAAAAGCCTGTCTTATTATCTGAATTTGAATATTGACTGTTTCAAGTATAAATAGTGTCAAAGTAAAATTACTGACCTCCTTTTTTCCCCTCTGAGGGACTGTTCACAGGTCAGGACTAAGCCTTCTTTCCATTTCACTCTCATCCGTAATCCTCTTACTGATCCCACAAAGGCTTTGAATACCCAAGGCACAAGCACGCCTGGAGTTTTCGTCACCTTATAATCACAAAGAATATCTGGAACTCTACTAAATGAAAATCACATCATTTATTCAAAGAAATATTTCAATACTTCTAAAGAACTTTATACCCTTTTTATCTGGGAATTACTTTGGAAATAATTTGAACACATTCCTGCCTAAAAGATGAGACAAACTTTTGCACTGGGAACCTTAAATTCTTTTTACAGATGCAGAGAAGAATGGATAGGTAGGAAACATGACTTGTTGAAGCTTTCAGCAAAATTTCAAGACCATGATTCAAGACTGTCATGGCTTCTGTCGCTCACCTCTAGTTTTAAAATTATGGAGCTAAGTGGTCTCACTGTGATAGACTCACTGGTATTTCTTATAAATCTCTTCGCTTCTTATGACCAGCATCGCTGTGTCTGTGATGCCTTTAAGATACAACGATTAAGTCTGTCTGCCCCAGATTGGAATGGCAACTGTAGATACAGTGAATTATAGTCCTTAGGAATATTCTTCCCCCCACGCATCAGAAAAATCTCTGTAAGATAAAAGCTTGCCTCTGTAAGAATGTCCCTCCAGCAGAGATTTAACTGCTCAAATCATCTCCTTGTAGCCTATCCAATTTTGCTTTTTTAGTAAGTATTATTTGTTTTTTTAAAGGTCTGATGCATAGAATGCCAAATACATAAAGCAGGCACAAATGACCATTATAAAATAAATCAACTCCAACCAGTCTGGGTTTTTAAGGGCATCATTTTCTTCAGTAAACAAATTCTTTTGATATTGGGAAAAGTTGAGTATTGAAAAATTATCTCCTGAATTAATTTCTTAGAAGTTATTTAATTATTTTGTACAATGAAAATAACATTCCTCCTGAGTCAATAACAGTAACAAATGCCAGGTCTGCCACTTTGTCACCATTTACTGAAATGCTCACTAGGTAACATTAATACCATATACACCAAGGCCTGCTCTAAAGGATAAGAACTCATTTTACTTACTTGTCACAATTTTCCTTCTCCTACTCTCATCTTCCTCAGGAATGTACATAAGTACTGCTCCCACCATTTCCAATAACATTTTACCCATAAAGTGTTTACTTTAGTATTAACAAAGATGTCTCCTCTTCATTCAATACAGGCAGAAATTTGTCTTTAAATTTCAGTTGCTTTGACTTATTTCTTGGTAAACATCTATTTTCACAGTAAACCTAAGACAAGCTTAGGATGAATCAGATCTTTCAGGGGTCTCTGCACGGATAACTGAGAAGCAACTACAATTGTTATGAAATTATCCAGCAGGTACAGCCTACGGGTCTGAGAGCGAGAGTATCAGTCACAAATGTGGAAGGCCCAATTTGAGCAGGACACTGACAGCTACCTTCCTATTTTCTCCTCAGAGGTCCTACACCTTTATCAAAAGAAGGATATGTGTTATAACATGGATTATGTTTATAACTAAATAATGTGAAGAAATTCTTAGATACCTAACCAAAAGGAATGGAGAGAGAGAGAAAAATAATCCATTCAGTGCTTTGTCCAGAAATATTATCTATGATTCAGAGACACTGATGTTAATTCTTTGGACTTGGGGGAAAGGAAGCAGTTTCTTAAAATCCCATTTATTCTGGGTAGCCTGTGTGTAAGGATAAAATCCTATAAATTCCATTTCCAGAATGGTCTTCTCTTTACTCCAGAAGGGAACATCTCACAATTATTGAAACTCAAAATCTTATGTCTTTTGAATCACCAAAGATCAGATAAAACATGTTATAGGAATAACATCTACTTATAAAGCTATTATATACCTGCTGAGTCTAAAATACATGTACTTAAATAGAGACAAAAAGAAGCCAGTCCACAGGTATATAAAGGCACACAATTTATGCTGTGCCAAAATCACTTAAGTTAATAACTTAAAATGATGTATTTTAGGAAATGTGTTTCTATCTGAAAGGATGAAGCACAAATATACTAGATGATCAAGAAATATTGAAAGAAAAGTTCTTAGCAAAGTGGCTCAATACTCTGATCTCTTTTAGTTTCAATAGAATAACATCAGAATAATACATAGATATCTAAAATATAACATGCAGACCAAGGGTTTTAAGAAAATATTTCCACTTTGAAAATTGCTATAACTGTCAAAAGATTTAATTATAGCACATTAAATTTTCTAATCCTATGCTTCTGAAAAGTACTTATATGAAAATAATTATACCACCACTAGAACAGGCAAATAGAGCAAGAGCTGTCACTAAAATAGAGAGATAACTATAAAAGTGTGTCATAGGAACAATTAAAAAGATAAAACATTTGGTCCTATACTTTGCTTGAAAGTAAGACAAAGAAATGAAGCATGATAAGAGGCGGAGCCATGCGGGTCATATCTCTAAGCAAAGGCAATCAACACTCAAGATAAGCATCTTTGTAATATGCTGCTGACTCCAACGTATGGGTCATAATCAGAAAAGAACTTCCCAGTTCAGGAACAATTATAAAATTTTATTAGACTCTTTTTTGTAGATAAATCTAAAATAGAATTTCCCCATGAACTTCTTTTCATAAAAAACCCAAACCATTTAGCCTCTATCTTGTTAAACATCAATAGAAAAGTAAGTCTGTTAAAACAGTGGTCCTATTACATAAAGTAGATGAGGTTCCCCCAACAAAACATTATTCACTCACTTAAAAAATTCATTGAGCAAAAGGGATCAAAACCATTTGAGGGGTTGAGAGTTACTTATAAAAGTCCAATTCCTCATCAATGGAGTTTAGCTCAAAGTTAGAGAAAATAGCACACATATTTCATTGGTCTGGCTGTCTTTCAGAAAGGACCTATGGCTTTCTGGAATAAAATAGGCCTAGAAAATAACAATAAGCTTTGTCATCAAGGAGACCTTTTTCTACCACAAGATAACAGTTTCAGGTAGAGGCTCAGAGCTGTAGAACAGTATCTTAGGAACTTCTACGATGTGTGTCTCCGATGCAAATGTAAGTAAATCAAGGCAAAGATCTAATTCCTTATACAGGCATCAACTTAAAAACTCCTCTTACAACAGACTTAAAGCAAAAGTATGGTTGCAATAGTTCACTGAAGTTCCTCTCTGCAGCATGAGTTAACCCTACAAAAAGCTAAAATTGAGATAGCACTACACAAGAAATACAGAGTATTACCTCAGACTATAGCATTGTATATGACAACTTTTAACAACCCACATGGTAACTGGCTTAGTGACATGAATTTCACTTGACTGGTAGCTAATCACTTGGCTCTAAAACATTAATAATATATCAGCTTAAGAATGTTAAAAAAAAACCACCCCAACAAAGCTTCCTATTGTAATCTTGAATAAAATGCTTCAGTTTAAAATACATCATTTCCAGGATTCACAATTGTAAATGATAATTCCAGATGAACAGGATCTGTTAACATTCTCAGATTGAAACTATTATAAAGATTTATTAAGTCACCTATCTCAATATGTCATTCAGTGCAGGGAAGCAAAGAGAGAGATTTTATACACTGCTGTGCTTGTTTCTAGGGGAGAGCCGTGGTTGCCAAGTTAAAGCAGAGGAACAAGTATGAGTCCTCAAAAGTAAAAGTCTACATTAAAAATGATGTGGATAGCTCAATCAGATACAAGGGACAATTCACTGATAAAAAAAACAAAAACAGAAAGGTAAGAAAATGTATAAAACCCATTAACTTTCAAACTTCTGAAAACTTTCAGGGACAGAATCAGAAACAGAAGCTTTGGTCTCTCACAAGTGACCTTCACAAAGCAGTTTTGTGTTTGTTTCCATTTTCTTTCACAGTTTAAGCCTCAATCAGATCAGCAGTCTCTAGGGATTTTGAAATGGCTATAGATTAAAATCCTTTCTGACTCAACTGTTTGACTAACATCGAATATTTTATAATTCTACTTGTAAGACTTTTTTTGATGAAATCCTGTTTTTGAAGAAAGCATAAAGCTGTCTTCAGATGCTCCACAGCTGTAACATAATATAAAACATCACTGTCCTTATTTCCATTATCAATACAATTAGAGATGAGAATATATATTATTAAAAGCAGTTGTATTATTTGGCAGGTGTGGTGGAAAACGGCTTTACAGTGCAAACGTACCAACTATTACCTACACAGTCAAAGATCTGCTTCCAGGTACTAAGGATACATATTCATGGCTTGGTTTCAAGGATAGGAAGTTAAAACTGTGATAGATAGACTAGAGTTAAATAATGAATTTCTAAACTTTATTCTTTCAATAATAAAATCATTTTGCTTTCAATAATAAAACCATTTAAACTATAGCATTTAGACTCTCTACTTCCACAGATCATGCATGCTGATACTCAACAGGTTGAGTAAATTGAATCCATATATTGTATTTACATTCTCTGTCAGGGTTGCTTCTCCACATTTGAGAGATCAAAGGCAAAACAGTCATCAGCCCTGTAGCCTTCAATACTGAGTTCATTACATTTAATCAAGCGCTAGCTTCACGGTGTCATTCACCCACCTCAACAATATTTAAATGAGTGGTATTGCTTAGCAACAAATGTAGGCTCAGTATTGTTTCAGCACACACACGTGCCCGTGCATGCACATATACCCCAAAATGAAATAAGAAGAAAAGGAAGGCAAAAAAGCATCATTCTCTCCATCACGCAAGAAATTAAAAATGTGCAGGACTACCCTGCAAACCATTTTGGAGGTGGCTTTCTACCTGAGACAGCATCAATCATGGTGGAAATTCCCCTTCGGTCAGAGATTGGCCGGGATGACCCTGGCATGCTGACTGGGTCGGAGCGGACTGGCTGGATCCTGCAATGCAATTTAATTTAATTCGCGTATGTCACTGGCATCAAAACTGTTGCTTGCTACAACGGACCTTAAACCAGGAATGCTGGAGTAGCCCAATCCATTAAAGAACCATTCATTCTAAAACAACAAACAGGGAGCTGCAGTCCCTAATTCTTGGACAAGGAAAAGGTACAGCAAACACTCTTTACTCTCTGGGTCCTTTCTTCTCCTTGAATGTTATTCAACTGATTCTAAGTAGAGGATTGAAAAATCAGCTTTAAAGGGATAAATTAAGAAAAGTGGGGAAGGAAACAAAATACTTTATACTGAAACCTCTGGCATTTGCAAGGGACAATATGAAGAGTTTTGAGAATTTTCAAATTAAGGAATAACACCATAGCTAGTAATGTCTTCCATAAAAAGCATTGATCCTAGGTACAAAATTTTGAGTAACTCCCTTAAAATACTTATTGAAAGTTACTTTATATATGACAACAAGCATAGGATAACAAAGCTACACTGGGATGTGGCTGCCAGAGATTCAGCTAGGATCACAACTATCTAAGCTACTTTCACAAAATTACCAGTTAACATGTAAGAATCAATTAGAGTCTCAGCAAAACTGCAATTTACTACATATAATTTCAAGTTGCATAAGAATGATAAATCTATAAATGCCAATAGTCTATTTCCAGCTGCATTAGATTAATCCTATTAACATAAAAACATCTGTATGACTAAAAGATCTGAGAGTCCCAGGAAACACAGAAAAATAAAAACTTGTTATGACAATAAAGCATGCATTTTAGGAAATCTATTCATTCAACAAGTATTTGTGCAATACTAATCGTGTCAGTATTATTTTAGGAACAGCAGAAACAAGACATGAAATACAGGGTCTATGTGCAGATATACAGTGTAACATATGGACATGCATAACTGATGCAAAGGAAAACGCAAGTGTGAAAATGAATGAAATAGGTAATAAAAGTTCATAAGAAGAAACAGAAATAAGTGCATGGTCCACAGCAGAATGGGAAGATCATGTGGGGCTGTAACAGGAATTGGATCTGTACAGAGTAGTAGGATATGTATATATGCAGAGGAGCAAGAAGTGCCCTTTAAGCAAAGAACCAGAACAAGTGGACCCTTAGATTTGTGACTGAGTGTGATAAATGCACGGCATTTTGAGGAGCATGACTTGGTTAGAGCAGAGAGTTTACAGTGGATATTGGTGGAAGGTAAGAGATTGATAAGCACCACAGGACAGATTATAGAAGCTTGAAATGCCAAGTATGGACTGCAGAGAGTACTTATTGCTAGCACAGTTTGAACGTATGTGCATTTGTTGTGTAAAAGAAAGAAATGGGAGAGGTGAAGGACAATGCCTCTGGCCTAGTACTGGCAGCTGGAAATGTTGACAAATCCTGATAGCTGCTAGAGTATGGAGGACAATATGGTGTACTACTGAATATTTGTTGTACCCTAGCTTATTTTTCTAAGCCAATCGAGGTAATCCCATCATCTCATGGCAGAGCTTCATTAGCTCTGGGATGGGCAGGCCTGAGCAATTCTGAGCCAGTGAGAAAAGAGGAGCAGTTTATTTGAAGTTTCTAGAAAAGATGTTTTCTGGTTTGTAAGAGAAACAAGAAGCTAGCCTGTTAGGTATGGTCAGCTCATCCAAAGTAAAGTGCCCTCCTGGTCTAAGCTTATGTAGGCTTACTTTACATTAAGTTTACCTGGTCTAAACTTATGTAAATTAAAAAAGAAATTTACTATTATTAATTCAATTTATTTTGTGGTTTCTGAATAATCCAGAGTAGAGGGTGGGGTGTGGATGGGGTATAGATGAAACAAGACTAGCCATGAATTGAGGTGTTGAAGCTGGACAAGAGATATATGGGGGTTTATTCTATTTTATCTTTAACTTTACATGTTTACATATATTTGAAATTTTTTCCATAATAGAAAAATGAATAAATAAATAAAACAAAACTGGTAGGAGTGATGGAAATGTTCTGGAATTAGATAGAGGGGATGTTGCCCAACATAGTGAATATAATACAAACCACCAAATTGTACAGTGAATTTTATGCTATGTGAATTATATATCAGTTAAAATAAATAACATGAATAAGGTCTGAAGATCTCATATATAGCATGGTGCCAATAGCTGATAACACTGTATTGTGTAACTGATATTTGCTAAAAGAATGGAATTTAAATATTCTCCCCATAAAATCACAATTTATATATAAAATATGTGAGCTGATGGATGTGTTAATTAACTACATGAAAAAATAAAATAAAGTAAAATAATAAAATGAAATAAAATGTAATTTCTCAGGAGCAAATCTTGAGTGGAACATTAGACTTTGTATCTCGCTTCTTGTATATTATATATTTTTCAAGTCTTTTAATAAATATTTTATTGACCTGTTTTGCATTTTAAATTATTGCTCCAAGTTAGGAGCTGCTATGAAGTGAAGCCCTGCTGGACTCCCTTATGGATACAATCAACACTATACCTGCATGCTCCCCATTTTGGTTAGGATGCAGGGAGGCAGACTATCACAGCGCTACATAATTCCTAGTGAGATTTAATGGGCACAGCACAGAATACTTGGTGTAAAAGGTCAGTTGAGCCAAAAAAATTATAAATAAAGGCTTCGCTATGTAAAGGAAAAAGTAAGGCCACAGCCACAGTGCCACTGTGGCTAAAGAAAGGTAAGGAACTGGGGTAGAGGGATAGTAAACAGCAACGAGAATATAAACAGTTGGGTTTCTAATTGGATGCTGAATGGGTAATGGTACTAAACAAAGCAAATAATTGAAATAGTGTAGGTCAAATCTGAATTTCCCATTAAACCTGTGTTCTAATGGGGATTAAGGTTTTAACCAAGGGCCTGACCTACACACTCAAATTTTTAAATATAAATTACAAGGGCAGAAATTTATAAACCTGCAAAATAAAACAAAGTATATAAAGTTTATGTGTGTCCATAAACAGGACAATATTTTAATCCAACATAAACAATTTTAAGTCATTCAGATAATACATACTGAGAGCTCTTCAATATACAGAAAAAGTTCCTGAGGAAAATTCTAGCAGGAATTTAGCTTTGTCTGAAGAAACAAGTTAGAGAGCTTAGACAAAGGTCTATGCCTGAAGTCAAGAGTAAGAGAGCTGGAGGAGGTCACAAAACAGAGGACTAGAACTCTACATACAGAAGCTAGAGGTGTCCTCCAAAGAAAAGGGGGACAGGGTCTTGTTATAGCAGTGGGTGACAGTCATCAGAAAAAAAAGTTAAATAGGGTCGCATGAATAATTCAGCAAGGAGAATGAACAGTTTTATGGTTACCTGTCTCAAATGCCTTATTATTAACATTTGAGTAACCGAATGACTTACAAACATGAATGACTATGCACTGAATCACTAAGTTGAGGACTGACTCAACTGGACTTCCTGAAAATGGATTGACTATCTAAACTAGATGCTATTTTACAACTGGTACCAGTGAAAACTGGCCTAGCACCTACTGCATTTCACTATTGCCTGACATCTTGGGGAAAAGTGCCATTTCTAGAAAGATGAAGAAAATATGCTGGACAAAAAACCCCAAAATTTTTGGAAGAAAATACAAGATAAAAGGCAAACTAAACAAACAAAAAACTAAGACACTAAAAAAGTTATTAAAGGACACATGGTCCATTATATGAATTAGCTTGAAGAAGAAACATCTAGGCCCAATCCACCTCTGTGTTGTTATTAAGCCTTTGTGTTGTTATAAAGATTTGTTACTAATATTGACAAAAAGGTAGATAAAAACATATTTCTAACATATGATTGGGATACATTTTACACAAATTTTATAAAGTGATACAAAGAAAAGGTCAAAAGGCTAGTTTAGAGTCAAATAAAGATACATTATAGAACTTTTTTAAAGAGCAGGCAAGGAAAGGAAGATTATATTCCATTAGACTAAACCCTTCACCCTAATGTGTCAAGTCTTGTTGTAACAAATTAAACCGCTAAGCAAACCTGAGACTACAAAAGTCAAAAAGTTCTCCGTTGCATTTAAAAAAACCCTAATGATAAGAGTATGTTGTAAACCTTGTATTATGAAGCTTGCAAGTAAGAATCAGAGAATACAGATGATAAAAATAACACCTAAAAGAAGGATTATGCAGGATGAGGACAGATGAAGTTTAGTTAAAAGATGAAACATCAGAAAGATCCGGAAAGGAGGATATCATCAGACTTGAAGCAATTAGAAATATGAGTAAGGCAGCACAAAATGGCATGGCTTTAGGAAGTGTACTGAATGGAAGATTTAGGGAAGTACAATCTGAAACACAAATGTTTATTGGATGTGATAAGATCGCACATGTGATCCCCAGTGATAACAGTGAACCACAAGCGACCATGCATGTATTCTGCAACATGATACTGTGCCAAAAAAGAAAATGTAAATATTAACTAAAATGCTCATTACAAATGAATATATTAGCCAAGTCAAATCATTCCCTAGTTCTTATTTCTTACCTGAGACTATTGAGATCAAGATCATCTGTATCAAAATCCAAAAGGGGCTGTGGAGTATCACTTGGACCATGAGACTGCAGCACAGATGAACTGGATGATATAACTGTGGTCTGGCCTGAGGGGTGGATGGTTTTGAACTGGAACTGTGGACCCATCCACAGACGTCTGTGGGGTCCAGTGTGCGTTACAATTTCTACCTGAAACAAATCAGGAATCATGATTGAAATGTATTATGGCCTCCCTCTGAAACCATCCACAATTCCCCCCATCCCGGTCTCTGGGCTCATTGTCCAAGAAGCCCATCTTAGCCAACTGGGAGAGGGACAAACGTGATGATAGTCACAGTCAGCGCCCTAGAAACAGGCATCTTGCATTCACTCTATACAGTACTTACCACTTTGTGGACATGCACTGAATACTATACCTATCAATCCACAAATTAAAAGTAATCCCTTCACTGAGGATCAAGCTCATAACAAACCTGAAGTTGTTCTTGAATTATCAAAGGAAAAGAAAAGGTCTGAAATAATGTTTACACCCAAAGCCAGTTTCTTTCCACAATTAAATGTTACAATATTTATTGCCCTAAAAATCCCCCCAAATCAATCTCTAAATAAAAGATAGCATTATATACTTTTCTCTCAAACTAGATTTGTCTTCAAAATACCATTACTTAGAGTGTTTTCTCAACTACTATGAACTCTGAAGTAAGTATTTTAAGGGCTACAAAACAGTAAGACCAAAATGCTTTATCAATTACATCCTCTATGGAAAGAGGTAGGGAATGTTGCCAATATTATGGTAAACATTTTAAAGACAAAGTAGACAGCAGAAGACGCTGGGTAAAGACCTGCAAATAAACATATTATATGATTTTACAAATGAGCAAGTTGAGTAAGAGACTAAATATGTAAACCTTTGGTGAAAGACAGTTTCTCAGTGTCTTACAACTGCTGTATCCAAGTCTGTATGTATATGTTACTGCCTTCCCATGTGCCTTATTTTTGCCCTGAGTTCTTTTATATTTAGTCACATTTCTCTGCAGTGATTAATTCTTAACAAAACATAAGTGAAAAGGTTCACAGAGTGCATCCCTGTGTTTGTAAGTCCTAAAGGGCAAAAGCATCACGCTCTTGCAACAATATTCACATTCTCACTCATTACAGGGAGAGAGCTTCTCAGATTTAGGACAGTGATTTCTGATTGAAGTAGTTGTATTCAGCAATGTAAATTAGGCCATGGATAAAGCATTCTGTGTATTTTAAGCTCAAAACCATCAGTGTCACAGAGCCGAGAGGTAAACAGATGCCTGTGCAATTTCACTGAGGCGATGGCCAGATGTTCCTATTCACTCTCCTGTTGTCTGCAGTACAAACATATTGTATATACTTTCACACTGACAGCACACATTACCCCTTTTCTCCAATTGAAAAGTTGAAGTGAAGGACAGTAGTTTCTTAGCCAGCATTTTTTTTTTTAACTTTTATCATGGTATCCTCAAGAAAGGATGGACCTCCGTATGCCAGGAACTGAAGCACCAGAGCTCCTTTGAGGGGCTTCCTGGGAGTTTTTGGTGTAATGAAATATTATGACACCTAGAAACAATCTGATTCTCCAGCTTCCAGGTTCGCTTCTGTTTTTCAGGCTACCCTCTCTGAGAATGCAGTGAAACTGTACAGGCCTCCACTGAGACACCTGCTAATGAAAAACTGCTGGACTGGTCATCCGAGGCAGCTCATTAACTTCACCAAATGATGTCAGACTTGAGGCAGACACAATGATGCATTTATAATCTCATCATTTTGAAATTTTCCCAGGTATCTTTTATTTCAAAGCCCTTAGGATGAAGAAAACTTCAGCTGGTAAAGGAGGGGGGAATGGCCAGTTGAAGCTGTTAAGAATGGGCTTAGAGAGCACTGGAAGCAGCATTTCCTGAGCTTAGGAAAGGAAACCCAGTCAGGCCCATCAGGACCTGTGCAGTTTGGAGTGCTGAACTTTCCTAGTCAAAGTATAGGCCCAATCTTCAGAAAATGTTGGCTCCACACTATTGGAAGTCTTCAATGTTTTAACAAGGACAATTCTTATTTTAATCCAAAGAGTTCATCTAAAATCCTAGTTCTAAAGGATATAAATGGATTGTTTGAAAGGTAAGCATATTTTATACCCTCTGTATGAAAGTTAATGTACACACACCTGTAAATAAATGTGTGTGTGTGTAAAATGCATGAATATGCATCCCTGAAGCGTTATTTATGAGAAATTCCTAATATGGAAAGGCAATTGATTAATTCTTGGTGATCTTAAAAAGAGTTCTCAGTTCTGCCCCTTTTCTTCTAAAAAAATAATTTTTTAAATTCAAGAATACAATGAGACAATGGATTTCTGTCTTCTTAACTTTACTAGGCCATACATTCAGAGTTTTACCTGAGAAAGCCATTCTTCATCTTGCTGTCCACTGTGTTCGGAGGCTGAACTGTCACAGGAGCCGCGCCGGGCCGCGGGCCCTGGGCTCCCGGCGGGGGCCGCTGCAGAAGGAAGACAACATGCTTAGACGGCTCCAGCCGAGGCGTGGGGAAACTAACGCGGGCAAGCCCGTCACGGATACTGCGGGGATTTACACGATAAAATATTACATTTAATACTCAAAGGTAATTCAAATAATTAATGAGCAGGAAAAACCACATTTTTAGGAATAAGAAAGGTCTCCAATTAAAAGTAAACTTTAAAAAAATATAGGAATTTCGTTATGACGTAGATCACTAGAAAAGAAACAACTAACTGCATCATAACAGTATAAGCATGTTAAGGAGCAATACAGTTCTGTTGCTATGTACACCAGTGTATTTCCCAGCCTTCAGTATGTAGGACATTTCAATCACCTCCAATTAGCAAAAAAAATTAATTTGCTGCAGTTCCTATCATTGGAAGCAATTTAAAAACAAATTATCAAATAATATGATTCTTTAAGAGTCTATTTGATAACCTCATATAAATGAAAAGCATAAAAGTAATTTTTAATTTGATAACACTTTTAGTTTCTGAAGCATTCCATTTGTCCTAAGAAATATTTCCTTTTCTTGGATACTTCAGTAGTGGCCCTGATACTTAAGTGATTGAATATAGTCTTAAAATACAAAAAGTTTACTTTCTCTTACAAAGAGGAACCTTTGCTTAGTCAAAGCAATAAAATGATTCAACAAACATTATGGAGGTTCTACAGTGAACCAAATATTACCCAACAAAAACCTAGCCTCTTTTTTAAAGTCTCATACTACTTACTTGCTGAGCTTTGTTATAAAATAGACTTTACTTTTTAGAACAATTTTAGGTTCACAGCAAAACTGAGCAGAAGATACAAACATTTCCCATATGTTCTCTGCCTCCATATACCATTTTGATGCTAAGAGAAATAAAGCAATGAAGTACTTGGGGTAGTAGAGAAAAGAAAAAGAAAGGAAAAAAGGAGAAAAAGAAGTAGATGAATATTAAAGAAATGTAAGAAAAAGAGAAAAGAATGAGAAACAGAAAATAATCTCATAATTTCTATCACCTAGAGAGATGTGTATATACACCTCTACAGGTGTATTTTCCTTTGGCTACATTGCTAAAAATGAAATGAAAGGATATGAACATACTTAAATTTCCTAATTCATATTCCCAGAAAGTTATACATACATTTCTATGAACAATGGCTGAAAATGCTAATCTCACTGCACTCTTGCCAGAGCAAAAGTATGGTGAGAAACTGTGTGTCAGTGAAACAGGCATAAATGAAGTAGACAGAGTAGAACCTAGCTAGGGCAAGATTTTAAAGGACTCATACTACAAAAACCTCATGTTAACTCACTAGGAGAGGAGAAATGATACCTACGGCAGTCAATTACTCCTTGGATGGGGATAAATAGTATTAAAAGTGTAAGATTTGCAGTGGTTAAAACAGTTACTAGTTCTTAAAAATCATAGCTCTAGAGCTGACAGGCATGCTCGCATCTGGCACAAAACACAAGTGGTCACCAAAACATAACACCTAATTTCTTATGATTTTGAATGATACCATGAAGAAAAGAATGCTATTGTAATTATATAATTAATACTTACGCATACTCTAGGAAATAATTTTGGTGTGCATTCATTGCAAAACTGGTAAGTACATCTATGTTCGAAAAAGGCTGAGTTGTTTCTAAATCACCTGTCTTCTTTTTAATAAATAACCGTTTTACTAATTTCTTAAAACAGAACAAAGCAAAGGGATCCCTCAAACCCCACCCTCTAAATACTAGTCGAGAGGGTGACCAAGAGTAAATATCTGAAGGTCAGGACACACTTTGGAAAGCAGCTGAGGACGGAGATTTTAGAGAGATGAGGGAATAGGCCATGCATCTAGATATGAGAGAAAAGTGTTACAAAGAGAATATCAAGCATAAGATTTTGGAAGGGAACATAAAGAAAACATCTCAGTAATATAATGGCTAGGTGTGGTGAGGCAGGTTGAGAGTGGAAGATGAGTCAGCAAGGTAAAGAGGGCAGAGAGAGGGCCAGCAGACTGCTTAGGCCTTTTTTGTTTGTTTGTTTGTTTTAATGTGATGGAAAGACAGTGGAAAGTTTTTGGGAGAAGTGAGAAATTATGCTTTTGTGTAACTAGTACCTTATGTGAATCTTTCCAAGAGTTTACAATGCATTCTATATATGCTGAGCTCAGGCTAGCACTCCATAATTATTAAGTAAATGGATAGAGTTTTGGATTCTGGACTAAGTAATGATACCAGAATGGTTGGACATTTATTTATGCTTCATCAAAACAGGATGAACTGAAAAAGAATCCAGTGGCAGGGATGGGGTGAGGAATAAGATTATAAAAGTAAAACAAGATTAGCCCTGAGTTGATCATTGTTGAAATTGGATAATATGTACATAGAGAGTCATTATACTATTGTTTTCTAATTTTGTGTCTGTTTGAAATTTCCTATAGTAAAAAGTTAAAAAAGAAGAAGAAAAAGAATCATCCTCCTCCTCTGCTTTCCAAAGAAAGTGGTAAAAATACCAAAATATATGTCTATGAAACATTAAATCTGATACCTAATTAGAATTCCTAAATAGAGATTGTAAGAGTTCCATATCTTCTATACATTAAAAAATATTTTCCAATTAAGAAAGCTCTGGAGCATACAGAAGACAACATAAAAAATACAAGTCTAACTGGATAATAATTTTCAACATAATCTTCTATACATTAAAAAATATTTTCCAATTAAGAAAGCTCTGGAGCATACAGAAGACAACATAAAAAATACAAGTCTAACTGGATAATAATTTTCAACATAAAGTATCCTTCCCTCTCATTCACATTTCTATATATTTAAAAACTGTCCTCAGTCCATGTATTAACATTCCCTGTGGAAGCAATGACATACTAGGTCACATAAAAAAAGAATTCAAAACCTTGACCCCAGGATAAGAGTAAAAGATTTAAAGTGATAATTAAAAGCAAAGCTTCCATGCTCTCTAATCAGCTATTATTAGGAAAGATATTCTGACATTGGAGCAAGAGTGCCTTAGATAGTAAGAGGAAAAAAAGAGGGTCCCTGAGGAAGGACAGGAAATGGCAGAACCCAAGAAGGAATTTTAGGATGAAGAGCTGTGGGAAATTATATCTTTGTTGTTGAGCAGAAATCAAGGAAAAAGCAAGAGATCCCCACACAGTATAAGCATGGAATAGGCATGCACATAGTGTGTCTACACAGCTGAAACTGTGACAACCTTTCTAAATTCCTCCTGGATCAGGTTAGAGTAATATTTACTATGTGTCCAAAAGTAATATGGACAAGGTCCAGAGAAGGGACAGGCTTTGAAAACGCTTTGAAGTAGAAACTAGGACAGATGCTGCCGAGACCTATCTGAGCCACTAACTAATGATCGAGCGTCTCAGTAGCGACAATGAGTATGAATGTCCTCAACTCTCCCATCTCATATCTTTGTACTCTGTAAGCCCTCTGGGATTTCGATGTGATTTTAGAGGGGGTTATAGTTGATTGAGATTCATTTTTCCACATTTGTTAGAATGGAGGCACAAAAGAGAACTTACTTAAGAGAGTTTATTTTCAGAAAAATAAAGTTACATATCTTGCAAGCCTGAGTTTAATGGACAAATGTACATATCTTCTACCTAAAGAAAAATGTTTAGGAGCTTTTACATTCATCAACTGTTCTTAGATAATTAATAAACTTGGGACAGAAGAAGACTCTGGAATTTTGAAATAAAAATCTCAGCCATGTTCTATACCTAACTTTAGTACAGTAATTTTTTAAAAATTCAAAAGAAGCCTATCCATCTGACTGAAAAGGATACACTGTCAATTTATTTCAGAGAAAACAACTTCAGAAGCACTGCCTCTCTACACACAGGCATTTGATAAGTATAGATCAACAAGCAAGGGCAGGATGAACAGGTCATTATGAGGTAACTGTGAGCCAGACTTTGTTTATATTGTGTACTCAGGAAAGTAGATGATGCTTCTAGTGAGTAAATAAAAGCTAAAAAAAACCATTAAGTATATTTTGCTGTCTTACAGTGATACATGGGTGTGTGTGTATGTCTGTGTGTGTTTCTATGTATATATTTATGTTTTTTATGTGTGTTTATATGCAAAGCAAACAAAAACAAAGCTGCTTCAGCACTGACCTTTGCAGATTAGTCCTGTTAATCTAAACCCAAAAACTTGCAAGTCAGTAGAACAACATAATTAAAACTATGAACAGAAAGATTAAACCGCCCTTAGATAATGCCCCTAAATATGAATCCCACATAAGAAAATTCTCTATATTCCAAAATAGAAAATGTGAATTCACAATATAACTTCTCAAATCTATGAACAGCTTGCAAGAGTTCTCTGGTTTTTAATTTTTAGATGTCTTCTGCATCATAATGTTAAGAATCAATGGGTAGAATTTTAACAAATTATCCACATAAAATATAGATTTATGAGTTAGAGAAAATTAAAAGTATTGGTTTAGAAGCTATTAAACTATAGGTACAAAGTATTAAGTCATTCAAATAATAATTGTTAAAGAATTATAAACACTATTAACAGACATCTAAAGTGACACTCTTTTTAACACGACTAATGCAATCAAAATAGACTAATACTCGTTAGGATATGCAGGTTTGAGTCAAGTTCCAAGAATGAGTAATTACTGGTCCTGGAGAAATTTAAACCTCTTAACATTTCAGGGTGTTTTCTCCAAAACATTAACAGTATACCCTAAATTCCAAGGAATCAGATTCTTTCTAAAATACCAAAAAGTAACAGCTAGATCTCAGTAACCTAAGTTCATCTGCAAAATCTAGTCTTTCAGGTAGAAGACAGAAAGTATGTTTTTATCATTAATACACTGAATATACTTTATATCAGGACAGGTAATTACCGTTCTTGGTATACTGGGCATGGTTTAGATATTTAGGAGAAATCACATCTCCTAACTATGGAGTTTACAACAAGGTATATAGGGTCTAGATGTTCTCTTAAGA